GGGGGGGGGGGGGGGGGGGGGCTGTCGCCAAAGCGAGCGAACAGCGCGCGAGAGAGCGACCGAACATAGGAGAGGACCAGGGGCTGCGACATGCCCCCAGGGCGCGCACGGCGTACCGCGCACGCGCGGCCGCGGCCGCTGCAACAGGCGGCCCCGACGCGCGCGCGCGCCGCCTGCCGCCCGCCCTTGAACAGGCAGCCGCCAGCCTGCTTAGCAACCCTATCTCGACCCACCTTGAACCGACCACCCCGTAGGCTGGCACGTATGTGTGCGCATGCACGCAGGCCCCCTGCCTGCGCGACTCATATCCCGCGCTCGACCCCGGTGGCCGTGCGCTGTGCAGGGTGTGGCCCCCAGCAAAAGCTCCTGCACTGCTGCAGCGGCCTTCGGCCGACGCATCGACGCGAACCGCTGAATCGTTTTGGCTCGAAGCAGGATGCTTCCTTTGCTCCAGCATATGGCAGGTTGGGAGGCACTGACGTGCTGGCAGTACCACCCGCCCCTTGCATTCAACTTGGGGCCTGTTCAATTGGTCCAATCCTTTTTGATTTGCTTGTGCTGTACTTGCGATCATTGATTCCTTCAGAAGCCAATCAGGAACCGTCTGGTCAAAGGAGGCCTGCCTGTGTGCCACAGCGCACAGTACTGCCTGTACAATACGCACGCGCATCAAAACCAACGAGTAAAGCCGCTCAACAACGCTGTTTGCATCCCAGCACAAGAGTGTGTTGGGGGGGGACACCGCAGCCGGGTCCTAATTGTGTGTCAACCCATCAGGTGCGTGCCAGAATGCATCCACGGATCCATCTGGGCAATCAGTGGTCAGTAAAGGGTTGGTTCAGACCATCACCCAATCAGCCCGCTCCACAAACAAGCACGGTGCATTGAGCCGCTGCCTGCCTTCCGGCAGGTTGCAGGCTTGACCAGCCGCGAGGGCGGCGCAGCAGCACCCTCAGGTCCCCTGGCTGCTGCTGATTGCTCGCCTCACCTGCACCGAATGGGTTCTCATCTTCTATATTACGGCCTTGAGGCATGGAATATTGCAGCTCGCAAGGTCGTTGTGTGAGATTTTGAAGCATTTACGAAGTGCGTCAGGTGACGACGCGACCGTGATATAGCACGTGTGAAATTCTTATAGTCGCCACTGATTCCATGCAAGATCTTCATTCAAGTAAAGCTGACACTTCGATCCCAACTCGATCAGGTGCCTGCCTTCGGTCACGACTTGGAAGTATTGGTAGACTCGCTCATTGTTCCCATAGCAGCAAGCAGCCGCAACAGCCATGATGATGACCAGGACGGGGCTGCGCTCTTTGCCAAGCTTTGCGCATGCGCGGCGGTCCGTTGTGGTCGTGCGCGCTGCAGCGTCTGCGGAGCCGCGCAGCATCACTTTTGCCGAGAGGCGCGTCCTCTGGGCAGAAAAAGAGAAGGTGAGGCTCACCAGCCGCCGCCATGAGCAGCAAACCGCTCTGCCTGACGAGGGCCCAGCCCAGTCGCTGACCAGGCAGGAGAGCAGAGGGGCGGCAGGTAGTCAGTACTCCCCAAACCAACGACCGGTGCCTGCTGTTGAACATCCGCCTCTGAAGATCGCATGTTTGGTGCTGCCCCCTGCATCGCCGCCCCCCGCCCTCGAACTCAGTACACGCCTGAGCAGAAGCGGGCGCCGCGCCCTGAGAACGTGGACGGGGACTTTTTCGTTGACGCCTCGTGCATCGACTGCATGGTGCGGCGGCGCCGCGCGTCGCGGGCTGCCAGCACTCTTATTTTTCTGGGGGTCTGGGCGGGGCGGGCGGCCTGCTGCTGGCTCTGATCCAACTGCAGGCAGCAACGGCAGCTCTGCATGGGGTTGGGGCGTCTGTACCAGGCTGTACGCATGCCCCCCATCCATGCACAGGACCTTTCGCTTGCATGGTCTAATAATGAGCTGTCGCTGCCTTGCTTGGAATCCGCAGACCTGCCGCTGGGTCGCCCCGGACACCTTCTCGGCAGTCGGCCTGCAGGCGGCCGTGACTGAGCAGCCGAAGACCCCGGAGCAGCGGCAGGCCGCGCTGCAGGCGCTCTACTCGTGCCCTGTGTGAGCATCCCAGCCGCTTTGAGCCTGTGCGCGCTGCTGCTGCTGCTGCTGCTGCTGCGGCGGCGGCGGCGGCGGCGGCGGCGTGTGTGTGCGCGCGCTTGTGTGTGTGTGTGTGTGTGTGTGTGTGTGTGTGTGTGTGTGTGTGTGTGTGTGTTTTGCGCACGCGCCACCCGCGCCGCTATTTGTCCACGTCTGCACACGGCAGACCCCCGCCTTCGCTTCAGTCCTGCTACAACCGCCCTCCGCCTCCCCATCGCCCCCCGCATGCTGACCTGCTCCCCCCGTGCACACCCGCCCGCGCAGCTTCTCCATCCACGTGCGCCAGCGGGACGGCTCCGAGATCAAGGCCGCCCAAAAGAGCCTCCCCCGCCCCTGGCTGACCGAGGCGCCGGGCGTGTACCACTGTGGGTGGCACTCAGAGGCGTCGTTCGGCGGCGCGGGCTGGCTGCTCACGCGGCCTGGGGGGCGGGGCAACGTCTTGGTGGACGCCCCGAGGTTCAACCCGGCACTGGCCAAGGGCATAGAGGAGCTGGGGGGCATCGAATACATCTTCCTCACGCACAAGTGAGGGCGCGGGCGGATCGCGCCGGGGCGTTTCGGGGGTTCGCCTGCAGGCTCGAGGTGTTCCGGATGTTTTTGGGCGATTCGGCGCTGTCCCCCCCCCTCTTCGTGTCAGCTCTCTGGTGCAACTGCATTGACGCCTGGCTGGACTGCATACGGTTTTTACGGCTCCCACCTGGATGGCATTGCCACGCCACTCTCCCCATGCTCTCCCATCTTACATGCGTCTATCCAAATAGCTATAATACGTTGGGACAATTGCATCAGCATGTTACATCGCCATATGTGTGGGCATGCATCCACGCCTGTTCGAACCCTCACACCGTCCTCCTCTTTATAACATTTTCCCCAAAGGGACGACGTGGCCGACCACGCAAAGTGGGCGAAGCACTTTGGCGCCAAGCGCATCATCCACCAGAACGAGACCACAGATCACCAGGGCACCAAGGAGTGCGAGATCCAGATCACGGGCGAGGGCCCGACCTGGGCGTTCCCGGACGGCGACGACGATCTGACGCTGATCGCAACCCCCGGGCACACGGAGCACCACGTGGTGCTGCACTCCAAGAGGCACAAGGTGCGGGGGTCGACGAGGTTGTTTTGCGGGGCAGTGCGATCTGGAGCAGGTCCGTTGCCTCGTTTGGCGTCATCTAGTTGGACTGTGGTATGCAGTTTCACCCAGCGTTACAGGAAGCCACCCTTGCCTCAACGGCCGGGACACTGCGCTCGCAACACTGCCTGCCGGCGGCCCCCACCGTTGTGCAACCCGGGGGCCCCAAACACCCTCGACGGCCACTCGCCCTGCCGCCAAAGAAACAAGCTGATTCGGCTTTGCCCTGCCGAAACGCATGTGCGCACCTAATCACGAATCCACCAGGCCCTTTTCTCCGGCGACCACCTGAGCGGGGCCGAGTACGCCGACTCCCACTGGAAGATGAATTCTGAGCTGTTCATCTTCACAGAGGTGATTGCCCATAGCACCTGGGATCCGATCGCCACACTTGGTCTTCTAGGCCGCCTCAGCTTGGCGGACACTCACCCAGCAGGCGCCAGCTTGCTTTGCGGGGCAAGGATATCATGCGGGGTTTGGCTCGCGCCACGCATGGCGCTACAAGCTTGTGTGTAGGAAGGCGGTGCCGATTCGTCCGACTTCCGACGTGCGGCGCCCCCACATGGTCCCTCATCAGTCATCACGCGCGCCCCCTTCCCGCAGGCCAACTGGTACTCAGTGCCGGAGCAGCTGCGCTCGGTGCAGGTGCGTCCCCAGCTAGCCCGGCTGGGTCTCGCTTCAATAGGTGTTGTCCTTGCATACTTCACACTTTTCCCGCAATCCCCCCTCCTGGGCTGGTTCCGGTCCCTCTCGCGACCGAGGGTCATCAAATCGGCAGCGGTTGCTCCATTTTCCCCCAAGCGCCCTCACGCAACGCCACATAGAGCACTGACACAATCTTCACCCCCCGTTCCCCCCCTCCCCCTCCCTTCGCCGCTTCGCGTCAACCTCCCCCCTTAGAAGCTGCTGGATTATGACTGGCTGCACGTGCTGCCGGGTCATGGCGTGCCCGCGCGCGTCGCCGACGCGGCGGAGCGGCTGCGGTCCGTCAGCGAGCTCCTGGAGCGCCACGCGGCCGTGGCTCAGGCGTGAGTGTCAACATCATGCGCAAGGCACGCTCGCCGGCCTCAGAATGTGAGTGCGACGACGGTCGTTGCCACCAACAGGCAGCCGGCGTCGCAGCTGAGGATGCATGCGGACGGCAACAGCAGTGTATGTCAACGGCGGCCCATGCATGCATGTGCTGGGGCGGCCGAGCCGCGGTTGCCCGGGGCGGGACGTGGCCTTGCATCATGTTTTGAGGTGTGGTTCATGCACAGCTGCGCGGGCACTGGTATGGCTGTTGCAACGAGAGGGTGCACATGGGTGGAAGGGCGGCCGTTGTTGCATTGCGTGTGAGGGCAAACAAACAAATGGTTCGGGCGGGCGAATGTGAGAGCGATAGCATTTGCAAGAGTCGCTGCCTGGGTTGATGGTTGGAGGGATGAGGGATGGTCTTGAGGGGAGAGGCATGCTTGGGGCTCTGGGCAGAGGCATCTTGACTCCTGTTGGCAGGCTTTCGCCGCTCCAGGCATGGTAGACGCGCTGCGGCGTGCTCTTGAATTTTCCACGCACTTGGTGAACCGGCTGAAGGCAAGCATCTTGAATGCCCTGTTGCATCCAGGCATCGTTGGCCTTTTGCAGTTGTTGCGCGCATGAAAGGGGCCATCATCAAATCTGTGGCGGCTCGCTCTTGTATTGGTTGGAGTGGCCTATGTCGCCGGCCTGGCCTCGAAATTTTGGTTCACTTGCACAGACGTTTTGATCAAGTGCCATTGCATGCACATGCCTGTTGTGCCTTGTCATGCAGGTGCTGTACTCAAGCTTTTATGCAGTTGTTCGTGTAAGTGCAACTCTTTGAGAGGCCAGAGAAGCACTTGGTTTGTACGAATTCGCAGGGCCGTGGGAACGATGGAGGCATGGTATGCTCAGCCCGCAAGGACATTTTAAAGCAGCTGCAGGAGCTGCAGGCTGAGGTGGTGCTTCACTGTGGTGGTGATCACCAGTATAAACGGCACATCATCATTGGCCAGCAGGGTGCCACTAGACGCTCAGAGACTGGCTGCGGTTGTGACGCACGAACAGCCTTTTCAAGCGGGGACACATGGCTTGGGGGCCTCAAGAGGTCGTTGGTGGCGCGCGTGTTTCCCAAGCACTTGCACAGCAGGCACAGCACAGCGGTTGCGAGGCATCAGCTTCTCCTGTGCATCCATATGCTCATCGTGTGTACTGTACCCAAACTCAAATTCGGTCGTTGTGTATATTTTGTACCCCGCAAATCCAAGTTCGTTGGCCGGCGTGCGTTCATAATCGCGACACCAACTCCGCCATGGGGCAGTCGTCCTCCGTCGGGCCCATTCTGGAGCCTTCGCCACCAGGAGCTCTTCAGCAATTTCTGAAGGGTCAGGACCTCGCGCAACTCGAGGAGACGCCCCTGGTGATTGCTCCGCGATGCACTCGCGCGTTCGTGCTTTGCCCGCATGCTTTCGTGCGTTGTGAAAGCTCGCTGTACAGGTGCATGATGATTATACAACGGCTCACCCTCGAGTCAGCGGCGGTAATCGCCTTTTTGTTTGATGTGGAGAAGCTGTCACTGAGTCACGACAGGCGCGGCCATGCACTGATCGCAGCGCAGAAACGTACGCAAACTCAGAGGGGCGCAGGACTTGCAGCCGGCTGCCACCTCACCAGCCGGCACCACCAGTGAAACGTTGGCCCAGTGTCGCTGATGCAGCATACCCGCACACCCGCAGTACACTAGTACGCCACGAACCTTTCAACACCAGGGCTGATCGAAAATGAGGATCTGGACTGATCCACACCATGCAGGTTTTCGAAAAGACCCACCGAGTCAACAGGTACAACTGCTGCGTCAACTGCGCTGTGGGGTTGGCTTCCGCCGGCCTGACGTGCGTCTTCTGCCCCGTCGGCGTCCTATGCCCGGGCAAGTTGTTCCCCTACTACTCGCTCAAGGCGCGTGCTGCCAGGGGCCGCGGGCCGGTCTGTTCACGCAACATGCATGAGCGTGCATGGCGCGTCTGCAGGGCGCCCTGCACACTTTGCAAGCCCTGTGGCTCTTAGCAAGGCCCCATACGCCCATGCGAGCCCCCATACGCCCATGCGAGCCCCGTTCGTCGCATGCAGAGCGGCCGCCGCACGCCTCCAGCATGCACACCCCGTGCATGCCCCCCTCCTCTCCCTGCATGCATACAACCCGCATGCGCGCAGCTCGACAGCCAGGCTGTGCAGGTCCACAGTGTCTACAACGACTTCTGCTGCCACCTGCAGCAGACCGTCAAGACACTGCCCCTGGAGAAGGTGCAGGACATCCAGATCACTCAGAACTGCCTCCACGCGTGCTTCGGCGTCCACCAGGTGATCTGATGAGTCAGCGCCGGCGCATCCAGCCACGAGGGGTCAGGTGCTTTGTACACAGATTTTGAGTGACATCCAGGGATCGTGCGTGCCGCACTGGCACGGTGTCCTTGTGGGGTGCTCTGAAATTTCCAGCACGGCTGGTGCGGCGATACGCTGGGTCCATGGCCCAGTCAGCAGGTCGGGTCCTGGAGGAGGGCGCTCCAGCACAGCCTCATTGCGCCCCAAAACATCATCGTGCACATTGCAGACGAGCCGCCCCGCCACAATGCTCCAAAGCCACCTGCCCAAACCTCATCACATCGAACAGGTCAGCGTCCAGACCGCTGGGAACAGCAACCCCGACGCCGGCGCCGAGCTGAGCGCCGTTTTCCTGGCCGCCCCCCTCGGCGCCCGCGAGGCCCTGCAGCTGGCGGTCCGCCTGAACAGGCAGCACCAGGGCTCCGCCGCGGCGCCCCTCCAGCAGGCCGGCATGGCACGCGGCGGCGGCAGCGGCGGCGGCGAGCTCGCGGCGCGCCTGTCGGCACTGGACGTGCTGGTGCAGCGCGGCGCGCTGACCGCGCCCGAGGCGCGTGCGGCCAAGGTCGGGGTGCTCGCGAGCGCAGCGGACCCGCTGCCAAGTCTGCTGGAGGCGTCCCAGCTGGCGGAGCGGGGCGTCATCAGCGCCGACGAATTTCAAACGCTGAAAGCGGCCCTGCTGGCGCAGATTGCCCAGGTCGTGGGGCGCGCCGTGTAGACCGTCTTTGAAGGGCTCCATCTAGATACGGTGCAAGCATTTTTGTGTACAAAATCAGGGTTTGACCGCCGCCTACTCGCCGCGTTGACGCCATAGCGATCCGTTCTCGGGGCTTAGTCATCCCTGCCTGGGGAGTCGACAGCTTCGTCGTCTGCGCCTACATGAGAACGGGTACTTTTGATTATTGCGGAACCAGCACTTACTTTTGCCCGAACCCGCTCCGCTTGCTGTCGAACTCACTCGCGCCCCAAATCACGCGCGCCTAAACTCGCCTGAGGCCCAACCTCCGAACCACCCAGCGGCTCCCTGGGGGCCGGGCTCATCTGTGCGTCACCCAAGCCGACGGCAGCTGCCGCCTGTAAGCACCATCACACACAAAGGCTCGCCCTGGCTGAGACCCTAATGCACGTCCTTGCAACCCTTACAAGGGGAAGGTGCACAGACCCAGCGATCACCCTGTCGAACCCTCATCGGCACCGCATCCTGCACCGTGCGCGTTTGCAGCCGTTGATATCGGTCTGTCTGCCTAGAGCAGCAACGCGCCATACCAGATTCACGCTCCATGCCGAAATGATGCGTGGCTTCGACGGCTGTGCATCGCCGGCGGCGCTAACTCTCCCCCCAGCGCTAACTCTCCCCCCCCCCAGCAACGTGATAATTACAAGGATCTTTAATTACATTTTGATCCTGCATGCTGGCGCTGCGTATCTGTCGATTACGTTACAATTCATCAACTCAGGTGTGACTCGACCACCACAACAGCTGCGTGCCAGTAGTAGATCAGGTCTTCTGTTTATTTTACCCGCTCAAGCAAGTGCTGTAACGTACTTTAAAGTGGTGAAGGGGGGAGGGCCGGGCAGAGCTAGTGCCCGCAGCGGGGCGCGAGACAGTAGGGCAAAGGGCACCTACACACTGATACGCGGCTCTACGGCAGCCTTCTCAAGATGTGGAAGTCAAACCAGCTAGTAGGTCTGATGCCGTGCATTTTCAGGATCATAGGGATGTGTTCTGGTGCGGGGGAACAATCAGCACAAATGAGCAACAACACCAGCAACACAACACGCTTGACACCGCTGTGCACGTCGGCGCAAGCGCTTGCTTTGCAACGGTCCGCCGCTAGACAGGCGGTCACAACAGAAGCGACAGACAGCTGCCACATCAGCAGTGCAATTGGCAGATAGGAAGAAGTTTTGCCTAACGCAACAGCCAGTGATGGAGGCATGACCATCCGTGAATGCCCCCTGAAGGCGAAGTGGTGCCCTTGCTGGTCACCTCCCAACACTTTAGCTTGTATCAATCACCACACAGCCAGCACGCGGGCCGCTTTGCTTGAAATCATGATGCGGGCTAAGTATCAGTGATGTCAAAAGAAGAGTAGCTTCACAGCGCAACCGCTGCAGTGATCAGCACTAGGTGTTAGACCAAGCAGGCGCCTGCACTAGCAGGCCCCCGGAGGCTACACAGGTCAGTCGTGCAGCCAAGTGGCAAGCCCGCCGCTGGTCAGGCTGTGCTGAGGCGAAGTTGTGGCTGCCGATATGGGCTGACCGCCGGAAGCTATCTCCACCTCTGTTTTCGACGCGACACGAATCGGGCGGCGACCGACGCTGCCACCGCCTCCGCTGCCGCCCCGCAGGCCGCCGCTCCCGCCAGATGCCAGGCCGCCGCAAGCGCCGCTCTTTGCAGACTGCAGCTGCAGGGCTGCTGCCACCAGCTCCTGTGCCTCGTTGCTCGCCGATGTCAGCAGCGCGACGCTCCGCCGGCTGCCGCCTGCTACACCTCCTGCGGCCGCCTCGGACTTGCGGCGCCCTCCGCCCTCCACGCACACTTCAGCTGTCACCTCGGTCCCGTGGTCGCAGGCTGCCGCGCCACCCGCTGCTGCTGCCGCGCCTGTTGCTGCCACAGCAGCCACCTCCTGATCCTCGTCGATGCCGCCTGTTGTGCTGCCGAATGCATGTGCAGAGGGGGCGCCGTGGGCGCGGCGCGGCTGGGTGGCCAACGCTGTGGCTTCGAAGCTGTGGGCGAGCAGCTCCCGGATGTTCAGCTCGATTGTGTTTGTGATGGCCTCGAGGGGCAGGATTCTGCAGGTTTGCAGGTTGCGAGATTGAGAAGAAAACGGGAAATTGTGTGTGTGTGTGTGTGTGTGTGCGTGTGTGTTTGTGTGTGTGTGTGTGTGTGCGCACGCGCGCGTGTGTACACGATTTAAGGGTGCATGTTTGAAGGCTGACCGCACAAGTTGAGGAATTCTGAATGGTGGCATCCCACTTAGACAGCTCCACGCCCAGCTATCAATCTTCTCGCTTGCCCTCTCGTGCAGCGCACATCTCTGTGTCCCCCATCTTCTATCACATGGACACCACATCAAAGCTCGTTGCAGCTGAAAATAGGCTCATGCACACACACACACACGTCAGAGCACTCGCGAAATTCAGACCATGGTGCCAGTTAACCGCGGTGCCATCAATGCCTGGTTTTGTCTACCCCTGGTGCCACCAACCCCTGGTGCAGCCAAACCCCGGCACCGGCGGTCCCTGGTGCCGCCGAGGCTCCCACAACACGCACCCGAAGGGCTCCTCGATCTGCACGCCGATCTCGTCGATCCCAAACATCAGGAATGCAAAGAGGCCCGACAAGGGGATGCTCATCCAGTAGTACACGGGCCACAGGGTGAACGGCAGCAGGATCAGCCAGACCAGCCTGTCGGATGTTTTGGGGCCGGTTGGTGTGGTGGGTCGATTGGTCGACAGTACCATTGAGCCGTTTGCTTTAAGGGTGGACGATCGACGTGACAGGTCAGAGACGTGCGGCGGCCGCGCGCGGCCATGGCGTACGGCACGCAGGAGAGAAGGGAGGTGGGCCGAGAGGGAGGGAGTAAGAAACGAGAGAAGGGAGCGAC